ATGGAAAACTGAATTTGTTTTTCCAAAAACAGCCGAGGCTAGTAATCAACTGAAGTATTTTGGGACAAGATCATTAGATTTTCTTGGAAGGTATCAAGAGAAATGGAACAAAAAAAGTCAGAAAAATGGAGTTAAGCTATGATTCTCCAGCATCTGCAGTTCCTACTATCTCTTAAGCTATGAATGTACCACATTCCAATTGAGTGGCAGAATAGGTCAGAGTGACTGAATTCCCTATTCTATTATCCGATGATTCAGAATAATTGGACCAAAGTACATGCATGTATTTGGTACCCAGTTTGAATTTTTATATTCTACTGTGAATCCATACTTCCATTATAAATTTCAATGTCCTTATTTAGAAAATACCTTGAGATGCCTCAGCACAGTTTTGGTGAAACTGCAGTACATTCCCTGCCAGTGAAAGATGATGACAAAATGACAAGTTGACAAGGTGGCTCCCAATATAATATGTGGATATTGTGATGTAAATGATTACAATTAGCCAAAGAATCAAAAGCAACACAAGGGAAAAACTTCATGCAGCAAATCATTACAGTCTGGAATGCATTTCCTGAAAGAGCACAGAGGAGACAAGTTCAATTGTGGTTTTTTAATGGAAATTGTATGAGCCCCAGAAGGAAGGGGGGAAAAAACAGGTTGCCGGGCTATAGGGAAAAGGCAGGGGAGCGGAACTAACTTGTTCTTGCAAATATCCAGTATATATTCTCACAAAAATTCTACAAGAGGAAAATTGCTGCAGGAAGCATGTATAGTTGAAAGATCTTTTTAAACACATATGAAAATACAAGCACACATCTGTTATCCTTCGGATGTTACACAAGCATATTTCCAAATCTGTATCACAGAAGTGATAAAATAAGCACCTCAACACCTTGCTCCTAGCTCGACTAACTGGAGGTCAAGTTCAAATTCAATCATGGCAATTTTTGAAACAGATCCAATAACATGATACTTGTAGGTTGAAAACAGATAAAACAAGCTGGAAAACTGCTGTAAAACCTAAATGGTTCACTAATGTCAGCTAAGAAAAGTGAATCTGCCGACCTTATGCTGTCAGCCTACATTTGAAGTTAATCTCACAATAAACAGCTATTATTGCCCTCAGGATAGGAAGTAAACACAGCTTTACCACGTTCTCCTTTTTCCCAAGAACAAACTCAAACGTTTTCTGACTTGAGCATTTGCCAAGATCAATCAGCTTCTAAAAAAACTTGAACAAATCACAGCATACACCTTGTGGCCTTAGAGACACTGAGTTACACACAGCCAACACATTGCGCTGCACTGGTAAGAAAGAATGACCTTGACTAATAGTGAGCAGAATCATGGGACATCCAGCAATTCTGATAAACAGATTTAGTTGATAAGGCGCCACACTCCTTAGATAATTTTTTCCTGGCTGTTGAATTGGAGGGCACTCACCCAGAAAGAAAAAATGCAGGATAAAATTGGAGGGCCAAGCATAGTCTGCCAACATCTCGGGATCAGTCAGATAATCCTTGGTCTTTTAAATCAGGTTTACATACACCACTATGAATTCCAGTGGCTGTTAATCTGATTAAAAATCTTCAACGTGGAACAAAGTATATATTTATTGTGGAATTTCAAAAAGCTGAGTGTCTGCTTGGTCTGGTGATCGCACTCTAACTCAGACTCATACCCCACTCTGGTAAGTGCCAAAATTCCAGTGCATTTCTGGATTGTTGCGCAGTGTAAGATATCATCTTCTAAATAAAGTATTAAATGAAGATTCCACATGCATGTTTGGTGAATGTACGTACAATAGTTTTCGTACTATTGGGAAAAGCTACCCTTGGTTTTGAAAACACTTTTTAATCCTCCATCAAAACCAGCTTACCCAGTTAGTAATCCTTTTGTTATCTGTGGCACGTTGTCAGACCCAGTTTGTGTACAGCAATAAGTCTGAGTACTGAGCAATAAGAAGACAACAAGGACCTACTTCACTGCAAGATCTTTAATTATAGGGGGTACCCACATCTGTAACAAAGGCAGCAATGTTTGTCAAGCAGAACTTTCCTCTGGTAACTAAGTACCGACTGCTAGTTAGTAAAGTTAATTGACAATATCAATTTCCATATTTTGTCTATTATTGACATCCAACTGGTGGATCATAATCTGGAAGAGAAAAAAGGTATTGTGCTTCATGCTCCCAATGCTCCAGAGCCAAATCCTTGCTTAACTATTCTTTTTTGATCAGGGGTACCTATAAATCTCCTTCAGAACCTCAGAATACACAAAGTTGGCTCAGTTAGTACCTGCTTTTCTCATCTGTGCCCTTGACCACTACAGTACATTCCTGGCCACCTTCCAATGTTCTATCCAATAAACTTGAGTTCATTCAAACTTTTGCTGCCTGTATCCTACCTTAACATGCACCAAGTCCCAATGATCTACGTTCGTAAAATGTTCGTTTTTTTAGAATCATCACCCTTGATTTCAGGTTTCTCCATGACCATTCTCCTCCCCACCTCTAACCTCTCCCAGCCTTACAACACTCCAGAATCTCCAGCTCCTCCAAATCTAGCCTCGAGCATCCTGGTTTTAAATCCTCCACCATTAGCAAAGACACTTTCAGCTCCACGGATAGCAGGCTCTTTACTCCCTCACTAAACCTTCACCTCCTTATTAAAGCACTCCTCAAAAGCAAATTTTTTAATCAAGCTTTTGGTCGTCTCAGTACATAATGTGGATTAGTGTCAATATTTATGTTCAGATGGATTGTTTTAAGTTTTAAGCTTGGGTTGTGGGTGAGGCTGTTGACTTGCTTGCCAAGCTGGCTTGGCTTGCTTTTGTTCAGACATTTCGTCACCATGCTAGGTAACATCATCAGTGAGGTCTCCAACGAGGCGATGTTATTCTACTCCGTTTGGAATTTATACTGTTTGGTCCGTTATGGGGAGTGGAGCAATTTCCAGTTTTTGATCTGTATGGGTTTGTATATGGGGTCCAACTCTATATGTTTGTTGATTGCATTATGGGTGGAGAATTCCCGTGCATGTCTATGTTTGGCTTGGGCTACTTTGGTTACTTTGTCCCAGTTAAACTGATGGCCTTCATTGTCCAAGTGTACTGATATGAAAGAAAGTTTGTCATGTCATTTTGCTGCTAGCTGATGTTCGTGAATTCTGATGGCTAGTTTCCTTCCTGTCTGTTTGTGGCAGCCGTTGTATGGTATTTTGTAAACTAAATTGGTTCTGCATGTTGTGGGATTGGGGTCTTTAATCCGTGAGTGTTTGTTGAAGGAGGCTGTGGGCTTGTGTGCTACCACGATTCCTAGTGGTCTTAGGATCTCGTTGTCAGTTCCGATATGACACATCAGAACTGAGGAGACTCTTCAGATCACTAGGAATCATGGTAGCACACAAGCCCACAGCCACTCTTCAACAAACACTCACGGATTAAAGACCCCATTCCCACAACAAGCAGAACCAATGTAGTTTACAAAATACCTTGCAACGGCTGCCACAAACATTACATCGGACAGACAGGAAGGAAACTAGCCATTAGAATACATGAACATCAGCTAGCAGCAAAACGACACGACGAACTTTTCTTAAACATCAGTACACTCAAGTCAATGAAGGCCAACAGTTTAACTGGGACAACGCAACTCCAGCAGCCCAAGCCAAACATAGGCACGAGGGAATTCCTAGAGGCATGGTTCTCTACCTGTAATGCAATCAACATAGAATTGGACCCCATATATAAACCCATACAGATCAAAACCGGAAATGACACTACTCACCATAACGGACCGGACCGTATAAATTCCAAATGGAGTGGAATAACATCGCTTCATCGGAGGCCTCACTGATGATGTCACTTAGCATGGTGATGAAATGTCTGAATGAGAACAAGCCAGCTCGGTGAGCAAGTCAACAACCTCGGATGGAGTGTGTTAGTCATTAGACTGCATCTAGGCTGTCACCATTAAAGATGGTGAGCCACAGAGGCTGCCAGCATGAAGCACTTTCAGTCCTTCACAGGAGATTTGAAACAAAGGTAAAATAAAATTCCATGGCACCAAAGAAACATGCTCAGACGACATGAAAGATCCTTTATGAATGAGAGATTGGTCCTGAAAGCATCCTTCCCTCCAGCAGGATGTAAGCAAAGTGGTCGGGAAAATTGAATAAAGAGCCTTTAATTTGTGGTTGTACCATGCCAACTTAAAATTCTCTTGGAATCCCCATATGTTATTGAAGCCGGACAAAGTAGTGACATTCTGGGGCATTTTTCACAGAATTTTAATTCAGCACTTCGACTATCTTCCTTTAATTTCATGACCTGATTTCCAGCATTCTCTCCAAATTCATTCCTCCTGTCGGAGGAGCTTCTATTGAAGAGTGTAGGGGAGCAGGTGTAAGGCAGACAGTTCTAATTGAAGAATGAACATGGGAACAGACTCAATGGATGAATAGCTTCTTCTGCACTCCAAGTTCCAGTCAAAATGTGCATTCATCTCTCGGGTTCTTTTTTTTTTTAAATTAACGCCAACGCCCTGATTTATTTCAGGAAATTTCTCCAGTTCTCCACTCCCATTTAATTTTTTGGATTTATTTTTCACATTTTGCTCAATTTATCTTTATTACTCTGTGACATTATGCCTTTCCCTCAGTGGAAATTTCAAACATTTTAGGCTACTACTTATTCCTTTATGGTTTGCTGAATGAATGGTGCTGTCACCTCTCTATTCCTACAACTGGGGTTTAACTGCTCACAGAACAATGAGATCAAGACGCAACTGACTCCAAGTCGTCCCTGTAACAGGCTGAATCAGGAAACAATCTCATTGTTTCTGCCTGTTGTTTCATTTCTATTAATTTCCATGTCAGGTTGGATTGAAGTCAGCCATAACTGCTCAAGGAAATGAAGGGCCTATATGTGACTCCAGACATGTAGCAATGTAGTTGGCTCTTAGCAGCCCTCTGAAATGGCCTGGCAAGCCAAGTTCAAGGACAATTAGCAACAAGCAAATGTTAGCCACACCAGCGACATCCACATGCCTTCAAAAAAAGTGAAAAAAAGCGACCATCCATCCAGAGAATTAACCCTACACAAACTTAACTCAATCCAAACTATTTTGAAATGTGACTGCCATTAGTTCAGTTTCATGACTTTCCAAGATACCTTGAACACACACAGCCATCTCTCCTCAATTTCAGGTTGGTTCAGTCAAAATCATTCCTTTGAGGGTGGGAAGGTCTACAGATTGGAGATCATAGCCAAGAATAGCATTGCAAGTGGTGAGGTGAAAGCAAGATCCCATCTCTCTGGCAGGCCTGGCAGTTGCTGAAGACCCTATGGCAGTAAAGAGCAGGACATGCTCCTGGTGCACCAGCCAACATTTCACTTAAAACACAACCAAAAATAAATTCATTGTTCATTCTTCTCGTTGCCGTTTACTGGCATACAGCAATTGTATTTGCTTTTATCCTGTCACTGTAAAATTAATTGCTTCGAGCACTCTAAAAGCTTTCAATGATAAGTGCTACGTATAAGATATCTTTCATTACTTCACTATTGCCGAATATCCTGTTGCCGATCTCTGTCCTGCTTGGTGGGATAAGCACATGCCCATAATCCCGGAAAGTTTGTCCATAATTATCGGTGTTACATTACAGAGTGCACACTCAGTTGCGAATAAGAATGCTGGGGTTCAAGACCTTTGATGCATTGTCTGGACCGAGTTCTTACCACAGTGTGAAGGAAATGCTGTCATTTCTACTGCCATTTGGAAGAGATCTTAAACCAAGACCTCATTTCCTACTTCAAGGTGATGTAGGACATTCTGATCACCATTCACTCCTCATCCAACAATGCAAGGAACAGATTAACTTACCAATTCGACTGTCATAGTTTATGGGAACTTATGGTGTGTAAACTGGCTGCTGCATCCCTCTACATAAGTAACAAGGTGGCAGCAGTACTGAATTGATGGTGAAATACTTTGGAGTGGAGGCGGCAGCAATTCAATGCAGGCCTGTTCCATCACAGTACTTGATAACATCTAATAATACTTCAAATTACACACCTTCGCTTTATATTGCTCAATATCCTTACCCAACAAAAATCTATTGATCTCAATCTTGAAAATTCAATAGATCTAGCAAGTCACAAGAACAGGAAAGGCTATATAAACTCAAGTGCTTGCAATTCCCAACACCTTTGGCTATATAGTATAATACTATATGCATCTTTGTACACTTATAGTGATTGAATTTATTGCTTGTGTTTTGAATCTTTCAAATTCACTTTGTCAAAAGGCAGCGGAAGCAGTCTGCATATTTTTAAGGCAGAGTAAGATTCTTCAAAAGGTTACTGGAGTTCGCAGAGACTGGAGTTGTCAAATCATTCATGATCTTACTGAATGGCAGAGCATGTTCTAAGGGCCAGATGACGTTCTCCTATTCATAACATATGCCCATGCCAATCTTCTGACCTCTAAATTCTCTCTCTTTCATCTATATTTAAAGTTTCATGCAATGGTGAATACTTCAGCTTGAAAGCCATCAATCAGTCAAAGAACCAGGATCCAAAAACCTCACGAAAAATGGTTCAGTGAATTTTAAATTATTCCAGTACATTACTATGACTGCAATGCACTTTGAAATGACCTGATGTCATGCAAAGCACTATATACATGAATGCATTCGTTACTTTAAGATACAGACGTATCTGGGTCTGATGTCCAACGTTGCAAATACAGACCAGGAAATCTCAGGGTTCAATGCCCCACTCTGTGCCTGTATAGCTCTACCCTCCCAAATGAACTTCTGACATCCTAAGGTATGTGTAGGGGGTTTAAGCTTCCACATGGCAGCCAAGCATGATTGTGCGGACATGAAGGGGAGGACAGAATCCAGGACAGACTCATCCATGAAGCCTCCAGGGTTGAACAGGCTGCCAAAACTCACCGTATAGGCTTATAGATGCAGACTGGCCAGTTGGGCGAGGTACTGGAGGGCAACCGGGGCCCGTGGAACCTTGCCCCAGCACGGAGTCAGCGCCTTCAGGAGAGGAAGAGAGAAAACTGGTGGAAAAAGGAACAAAATAGACACGAGGGAGCAGCTTCAGGCTGTGATGTAATCTCAGGGTTCACCCGCGGGTCATTAGCTGCTCAAACTTTACCCTCGTGATCTGAATTGCCTCTAATAATTTCCCATACCCACAAATCTCTCAACGTGACACGTTATGCCAAATGCACAAATATCTCACACAGCAAAGTGGATGCTGACAAAAGGTCAGAAGTGTATTGCATCACAACCTCTGACCAAGTCAAAGGTTTTTCTTTTATGTTTACTTTGGGACCCTACATAAAATGCGGAGAAACAAGGCAGGTGCCCAATGACACCCAGAATGGTCTAGTCTAGGGCTTCACTCTGCTGGTTTGGCATATTGTTAGAACCCCTCAATCAAATGACAGCCACTGATGCTCTCAGCTAATATCAGACACTCCATGTAACACTTTGTTAATTTGAGTAGAGGTCTACACAAGAGGGTCTTGCAATCTGCCTCCAGGTAAATTCGCCAACAGCCTGCATGAAACGAAAAGGAAATTTTAGGAAGGAGACAAACTGAGATAATTGATGCACAGGATATCTAGTCAGCATCTATCAAGAGGAACACATCACCTTAAACCCATGGTGAGGTTAATCTTTGCTGTCTATAGATATTGAGAACAACCCTAAACTCCAACTAGTAAGATGTGCCCAATTCCTTTGAAGGAATTCCTGAAGGAAGAATGGCAGTGTCCTCTAAGCTGTGTAACTATTCTTTGCTTCTCCCCACAGAACAGGAGTGTTAACCCTTCAATACTTCCACTTCAGAGCAAGAAACTCATTTTGATCCACTCTTAGTTGTCCAACTTGCAGTTTGTGCACAGCTTTTCTTCCTATCCCCATATATTAACAGCAAGTCCATTGGACTAAGTGATCAATGTTGGTGGTCATGCTCCACCTAGGCCTACTCGACAATAAAAGGTGTTATATAGGTGACAGTAGTTACTGATCTCTAGTAATAAAAGAACAGCTATCAGATTTACAAAGCAATATGCAATAAATAACCTGTAGAATCTTGAGGAAATCAAGAAACTAAGGGATAGAGCTTTGTATTGTGATATAACTGGCCTACCTGATCACCTTGATATATTTGGAACTTCAGGATTAAGAGAAAGGATATCTAAATGCTAACTGCTCCACAAAATCCACTTGTGCCAGCAATACGTCAAAACCTATTCAGTTAATGGCAGTAAAGAAAAGGTTTGAACAATGTGGAGCATAATCAGTGCATTGCTCTTCCCACAAAGGGTTACACAGCAGTGATAACCTGTCTCATCCCTTGCTACAGATGCTGACTGGTCTGCTATGTGTATTCAGCATTCTCAGTTTTAACACCAGAATTACAGAATCACTTTTCTCCCCCCAGTTTCCTGTTACATGGAGAGGTTTCTTTGCAAACTTGTGTAAATACGCACTGCATAGCTGGAACAAGTTAACAAAGCAGGGTACATGCACAACATAAAAAACAGAATCACTAACAATTATTTGTACAAAATTTACAGCCCAAATCTCCCTTCAACCCAAATCAAAAACAAAGAGGTTACATCATTTTGGATGATTTGAAAAGTGGGGCTGCCTTCAGAGACGTGTCTTTATCCCTGTACAGTGCAAGAGGAGTGTGCTTCAAGTGCCAAATTGCATCAAACTGCACTCTCAATGGAAACACAAATGGAAACACACTAGCATCCTTTATTAAAAACTACTTGTGTCCGAAAGACAAATTACAGCACATCTACTTACCCCCTTCACTGCACTCCTCTGGGGGTTTTGCTTTCTTTGCAAGACGGGGATCCAGCCAAGTAGTTGTCTTAGTGTTATGACTGTGAAAGAGAGAAAAATTACGACAATACAAACAACACAATAGTGCTGCAGGCTATCCCTCTATATATGCATATATGTCAACGAGTGAGAGGACGAGTGTGAATGACAGAGAGGTAGGAGTGCGAGAGCGAGAGCAACAGCACCAGCACAAGTGCACGGGTGAGAGCGCGCAATTACTGAAACACATGACAATGAAATAGGACTAGGGCTGGGGAGGCATCCAGAAGTATAGAGGAAGGAGAATCTGTAACCGCCTAAAACTCAGGCAAGGCTGTACACTTATAACATCTTCCCAATGCCAGCAAAGAACATGTCAGGCTTTCAATCTACATCTGGCTGCATTGGGTACAACAAATGTGACTGGGTTTGGGAGCTTGCTGCACATAATAAAATGTAATTACGTTCACTATGAATACAGCCTATCACACATAGCTCAGTCTGAATTCCCTCCTAAAACACGCTACCTCTTTCTCTGTGCAAGATGGATTTAAAACTCACCTCTTGGACTAAGCTTTTGGACATTGTCCTAATCTTCCCTATGTAGTACAGTGACAAATTTTCACTTAACACATCTGTGAACTGATTTGATGTTCTTCTTTATTAAATGTGCTTAATGAATGAGAATTGTTTTTACTTTATGTTACTAAAAGTCAAAACAATCAACCTCAGTTTTACAAAGACCCCTACACATTCAGTAACAGATACTCACTCAATGAAGTAAATCATCCCGCTGTCAGTGTAGGCCATCTCCCAATTGTTTGGCAATGGCTCGACTAAATCTTCCCTGGTAACCGGATCCAAGTACCTGAATTCTGTTACGCCCTCAGTGTGGCTGGGCCCAGGTCCTGCAGAATGAATAAATCCCTTGGTTACACTCTTCAGAATGATAAGTGAAAGCCACGCAAGACAGATTGTACAAGACTGAATAGTTACATTCGACCTTGACAAATATCATGCAGCCAGCAAATACAAGTGTCAGCTCTACCTTTTGTAAAGTATGCAGCGAAATGCTGGGATGTATATATAGCTAGGACAAGTACAAGACGACAGACATGAGGGCCAGCCTTGTATAAGATCCTAAATACAGCCCATGTGGAATATCACATTTAGTTCCAGCTCCATGACTTCACGACTGCAGCTACTTCAATTAATTGCTTTTCTCACCTTGTTTGTTCTTAAAGGAAACTGTGACAGCAAGAAGAATATCAGCACAACTTCCCCTAGTGATGAATTACCACATAACATTCCGAGCAAAAATGCAAGCACAGCAAAAAGAAACAGCTAGAACAGCATCAATATCAGGCGATGTCATAATATGCCTGTGATTCCACTCTGCCTCACCTGGGTAACTGGTCCCATTGGCAGTGGGTCTTTCATCATCTTCATCTTCATCTGGGACCATAGTGTCAGCTCGCTGCATCATGCTCACAGATGTTGTTCGTTTCCTTTGTGCCTCCTCTGAGCCATCGTCCAGAACGACCTGATCAACCACATCCTGCTGAAAAGGGCCAGGCTCTGCAGGAGGCTTCGGTGTCCCATAGAAATTACCTGTTAAGTTCAGGGTGGCACAAAGACCAAATGAATTCCTCAATTTCATACCACTTTACCGATACTCACTTCCTAATCAAAGTTCAAAAACAAATCCTTATCATTCAACTGCATATTTCTCATGCTATAAATTTGGCAAGGCTAAAGCTTCCCTTCAGCATAGAAGCCAAGTGAGATACCAAAACAGAAATTGCTGGAAAAACTCAGCAGGTCTAGCAGCATCTGTGGAGAGAAATCAGAGTTACTGTCTTGGGTCCACTGACGCATCCTGCACTCTCAACTGAACCAGGGTTCATGCCCCACCTTGAAAGCAATGGTGAGAACTCACACCAGGCGAGATTCAGGGTTGGTGCAGAGTTCAAACTCAGCCTTAGACGCAGTTGAGGAGCAATGGAAGTTGAAAACCAACCAGGACTTGTACAGCAGACAGTAATACTAACTCCAAATGGAAGTGTCTGAGTGCAGAATGAAGTGGGACTCAGCTAAAATATTTCCAGTCTATTTCACTTGATAAAGGGGTGTTTTTTTGAGTGGCGGGGGG